TTTACGGTGCAGACCGCCACAGGCCAGGCTGGGGCCCCGGGAGCACGGTGAGGGATCCTTCCTTCCCTCTAGCCACAGCCTCGGCCCTTGGCTTTGTGCCCCTCCTCCCCAGGGGACCTGGCCTGGCCCTTGTCCACCCCTCCTGCCCCCAAGGCCAGCTCCCCATCTTTCTCCCACGAGGAAGCTCCCGGGTCACCTCCCGCTGACCTGGGAGCAGACGTACCACAGTCTGTTCCTCTGGCGACGCTGGTCACACGGGCATTTGGGAAAGAGAGAGGCCTGCCTTGTGATGTGTCCCCTGGACCCGGCCGCCCACACCTACCGGCTGCGAAGCAGGCTAGGCCCCGGCAGCTGCCAAGGGAGGGCCTGTGCGGGGCGGACAGCCGCGGGCCTCGGGGCGTACACCCACCGCACCCCGCCCCTGCCAGGTCGACTTCCTCCTGAGTCTGCTGGCTCTCGGGCCTGTGTGGGGAGCAGGGCAAGAAGCCCAAGGCACACCTCCACCTGCTGTGTGGGCGGGGCCGGGGTCATGAGAGGGTAAGTGAAGGTCCTGCCATCCCCAGCCCCCCGCATGGGTGGGCCCTCCAGCTTGGGCGGTACAGCAGGAGCCCGGGCAGAGACCAGCTGTAGAAAGCACAGGGGCATGTGGAGGCCCTGAGTCAGAGACTGGGTGTTTCTGGCAGCCTGAGTCAGACCCACGGTACCTGACGATAACATCTGCACACACCACGTGCACAAGTACCCCTGCCAGGCACACACATGCCCCCACTGTGCACATGCACCCACAGACCATACATGCATACCCGCACTGCGCACACATGCCCCACCGTGCACATGCACCCCCACTGTGCACACACACTCACCTACCATACACACACCCACCCCACGTACACGCAGCTCCCCACTCTGTACACACACACTGTGCACATGCATCCACCTACCAAACACACCCTCGCTGGGCACAAATGCACACCCCGGTGCACACACACCCCACCGTGCACATGCACCCCCACTGTGCACACACACTCACCTACCATACACACACACCCCCATGCACATGAAGCCCCCACTGTACACACACACCCACTGTGCACACGCACACACCTACGGTACACACACACCACCCCTGTGCACACCCCCCAGCATGTACACACACCAACACTGTGCACACCCCCCACCATGTACACACACCAACACTGTGCACACCCCCCACCATGTACACACACCCCCACCCCTACCATGCAGACATACCTCCTCACCATGCACACACACCGCCCC